CAGCGACTCCGAATACTGAAATCCGATTTTACAATCGTCGTTACGATAGTGTTTACAATAGCTTTTTAGTATTTAGTGTCAAAAATGGCTTGCGTGTCTAGCAACTCTATCGTTTTAATTTATGTTGAAGCAAGACAATATTTGCATTATAGTTAAACAGGACAACATTTGTGTTAGTTCGTAGAAACTGAGTAAGATGGGCACAAAAGTGTTTACACGTCGATGGACAAAATTTTGAACAGTTGTTGTAACATCAGGTATGTCAAATTATTTTATTATTTAAATACCACAAATAAATTTTATTAATTAATTATAATAATAGCGGAAAAAGCAGTTGAATTTATTCCTTTCCTTGCGAAATTCTTTCAATTTTTTGTCGGTTTTTATCACACATTGTGCGAGGTCAGGTTTTACAGTGGACCAGATTCCAGTGACGTGCGGAAGTGTATTTTTAAATCACTTTCGAACTGCCCGTTTTGATTTTTTCTTTATAAAATTGTATTTGTAAGAATCCCCTGAACATCCAACATTTTTTTTTGGATAAGTTCTTAATCACCCTGTATAGATTGGTTTTCTTTCAATAAAACTGACCTACATAAATAAAAGTATTAAAATTATTATTTCAAGTTTCTTATGAAAATGTTTTTAATTAATCCCATTTTGTTAAAATGCTTTTCAGTTTACTACTAACTCAATACTGTTTGTTTCATTTATTATTGTAGCACCATCGCTAGATGTCAGCATTTATGTCTCATTGAGAAAAGTACGTTCTTTCTTCATTAGAGTTGTGGAAGATGTTAAGTTACAAATAAACCTATTTTTAATACCTTAAAATTTTAAAACCAGAACCGGTTCTACTTATTCAATATTGTCTGGGGGAATTTCGTTTTGTTCCGTTTCAAAAGGTCTCCAAAATATCATGTTGTAATAATATTGGTAAACAAAATATGCCTCTTATTTCTCCCTTTCGCTGTTGTAATATGAATGATTAATAGAATGTGCCTATAATAAATTAAAATTACTTGAATCACACCAAATTCCGCATTGCTGCACTGCACTGCTAGGCAATTTGTCAACAAATGAAATTTATGATCCAGTCGCTCAGTGCGGTTGTGTTTGTGCGCCGTTTGCCCGCGTGCTTATTCTTCAACTGGGCGACTAGACCTGTATATGGGTATGGTTAAATAAATATGGGAATAAGTTTTTCAAATATTACAATGCCGAGTTGCTGCGTAGCGACCGAACCTGGCACATACTGCCTAGTTCTTTGGTCTTCAATTGAGATCGGAAAGACTATACTTAGCAATTTTTTTTTAGATGAAGAAAGTCTCTGAGTGTTGATTGCATCGCAAGTTTAAGCTTGTTCTTGACACTAAGAACCGAACATAAACAATTTCTCTTCAAACAATGCGCATTATTCTGTAACGAATAAAATATTATTTCACCGCATTTAACCAAATATTCTACAGGTTTGAGGACAGATATATCTCTTTAAAATAATAGGAGTTTGCCTTATAAACATAGGTCTGGTACGGCCTCGTTTTAGAGATACAGGGTGTTGAAGTTGTTAAAAAAATATATTTTTTGTTTATATCTCAGGAATTTTTTAACCGATCTCAATAAAATTTGGTACAAATAATGTACGATAGTAGGCTTTGCATTCCGTAAAATATGAGCTCTAAAGGTTTAACCAGTGGGGTACAAGTAGACAGGGGTCACCCCCTTTTTATAAAAAAACCTACGCCATTATATTTTTTGTTATTGTAACAGATTTATATTCTAATGCACTAAATACGCAAAAAATATGACTTGAATTTTTTCCCTAAGGTTCACCATTTTCAAGTTATTCATACAAATACAATCCCCTTGTGGCAGACAATTCATATCATAATATTAGAAAAATATTTATGTTTATGCTTAAAAGTAAGTGCAATTTGTAAGTACATCAACAAAATTCTTTCCACATCACTTGTGAAGTGGTGTTCCCGGTGTGTTTTAGTTTTCCCTGGAGGCATTATCTTTACAAATAAGAACAATTTAAATCAAAATAATAATAAAAATACACTTACCAAGCAACAACAACTAAATAAGAAACAAAATTAATGTTACATATTTACAGCAATTGTTTAAAATGCGAACCACCCACATCGATACATTTCTGACATCAGGTAGGTCACCCCAAACATAGAAGTCCAGGGAATTTAGATCTGACGATCTGGCTGGCCAAAACACTGGACCCTCTGCACCATTATGGTTGACATTGGCATTTGGTCTTGTACCTATCCATCATCTCATATAATTTTCATTAAGCCATTTTTGTATTATTCTCCTAAAATGCGCAGGAACACCATCCATTTGTATCCAGCTATTTTGTCGTATATTTAATGAAACTTCCTCTAATAATTCAAATAAATGGTTTTCTAGAAAGTTTGGAAGTGACTCCGAATTTCATGAGGATTTTCTTGTGACCAAATATCCAGACTGTGAAAATTCACTACCCCTCGCCTTCTGAACGTATTTTCATTGGTCCAGAGTATTTCTAGTAAGAATTCAAACAACCACTCATAAAAATTCAGGCATCTCTCTGCATCTCCCGGAAGTAAATTTTGCACAGGTTGTAAATGGTACGGATTTCTGCCATCCTTACGTAGAACTTTTCAAATTTTAGATTTTCCAAATATTGTTTTAATCCAAAAAGACGAAAGCGATGAGTGTAAAGAATTTTGTTGATGTGCTTACAAATTGCACTTACTTTTAAGCATAAACATAAATATTCTTGTAATATTATGGTTAGAAGTGTCTGCCACAAGGGGATTGTATTGGTATAAATATATTGAGAACGGTGAACTTTAGGGAAAAAATTCAAGTTACTTTTTTTACGTATTTTGTGCATTATAATATAAATTCGTTATAATAGCTTGCAAAAAATACAGTTGCGTAGTTTTTTTTATAAAAAAGGGGTGACCCTGTCCAGTTCTACACCACTGGTTGAATCTTTACAGCTCATATTTTAGGGAATACAAGGCCTACTATCATACATTATCTGTACTAAATTTTATTGAAATCGGTCCGTGGATCCCGGAGATATAAACAAAAAATATATATTTTTTAACAACTTCGACACCCTGTATCTCTAAAACGAGGCCGTTCCAGACCTATGTTTATAAGGCAAACGCCTACTATTTTAAAAATCGCCCTCGAAGTTTCCTGCATAAAATTCGGACCACCCTGTATACAGTGAACTGCACTGCGTCGTCTGTGCACAATTTATTAAAAGAAAAACTATGTTTTCTTAGTGTAGCATGAGAAATTCAACAAAATTACCTGATGTAGACAGCCAAGAAAGCCCGCCTATTCTTTAGATACAGAAAATTTTACATCTCGAATAAATTTCGAGGATGCACAAACTTGTGCATCTCATAAGCGAAGCGAACTGAAAATTTGCCCCTCTCGNAGTTTAGATCTGGCGATCTGGCTGGCCAAGACACTGGACCCTCTGCACCATTATGGTTGACATTGGCATTTGGTCTTCTACCTATCCATCATCTCATATAATTTTCATTAAGCCATTCTTGTATTATTCTCCTAAAATGCGCAGGAGCACCATCCATTTGTATCCAGCTATTTTATCGTATATTAAATGAAACATCCTCTAATAATTCAAATGGATGGTTTTCTAGAAAGTTTAGAAGTGACTCCGAATTTCATGAGGATTTTTGTGACCAAATATCCAGATTGTGAAAATTCACTAGCTCTTGCTTTGTGAACGTAGTTTCATCGGCCCAGAGTATTTCTAGTAAGAAACAACCACTGATAAAAATTCAGGCATCTCTCTGCATCTCCCGGAAGTAAATTTTGCACAGGTTGCACAAATGGTACGGATTTCTGCCATCCTTACGTAGAACTTTTCAAATTTTCGATTTACTCACCCCAAGTTACCGAGACGTTCTTCGTGTACTTAGCCGAGGATCGTCGTCAAATGCTTTTAAAATTTCATTTCTATGCCTTTCATTCCTTTGTCGTGATTTTCCAAATATTGTTTTAATCGAAAAAGACGAAAGCGATGAGTGTAAAGAATTTTGTTGATGTGCTTACAAATTGCACTTACTTTTAAGCATAAACATAAATATTCTTGTAATATTATGGTTAGAAGTGACTGCCACAAGGGGACTGTATTGGTATAAATATCTTGAGAACGGTGAACTTTAGGGAAAAAATTCAAGTTACCTTTTTACGTATTTTGTGCATTATAATATAAATTCGTTACAATAGCTTGCAAAAAATACAGTGGCGTAGACCCCAAAAAAGGGGTGACCCTGTCCAGTTCTACACCACTGGTTGAATCTTTACAGCTCATATTTTAGGGAATACAAGGCCTACTATCATACATTATCTGTACTAAATTTTATTGAAATCGGTCCGTGGATCCCGGAGATATAAACAAAAAATATATATTTTTTAACAACTTCGACACCCTGTATCTCTAAAACGAGGCCGTTCCAGACCTATGTTTATAAGGCAAACGCCTACTATTTTAAAAATCGCCCTCGAAGTTTCCTGCATAAAATTCGGACCACCCTGTATACAGTGAACTGCACTGCGTCGTCTGTGCACAATTTATTAAAAGAAAAACTATGTTTTCTTAGTGTAGCATGAGAAATTCAACAAAATTACCTGATGTAGACAGCCAAGAAAGCCCGCCTATTCTTTAGATCCAGAAAATTTTACATCTCGAATAAATTTCGAGGATGCACAAACTTGTGCATCTCATAAGCGAAGCGAACTGAAAATTTGCCCCTCTCGTGAACACATCCGCACAGAACTATCCGTTTCTACTTACGTCAGCACCTGATGCAAAACAAACATGTATTTATATTCCCGCTTACCGCGAAACGCGGTACAAATTCCAGTATACCGCCTCACATTATTCGGAATCAATAGGTTGTGTTTATCGCTTAGTAAGAACGTATTACCGGGTGCGTTTATTCAGGGCTACTTACCGATAACAGTGAAGTTGACTTTGCTGTTTCTGGTGGGGGAGTTCTTGTAATCGACGCGGCACCGGTAGATGCCCTCGTCGTCTAATTGAATTTTGTCTATGACTAAGGTGGCCGGCGTCGTCGTCGTCCTGAAGTACGCCCGAGGCCCGAAAAAATTTGGGGACGACCACAGTTTCGCCTTCGTGAACTGCCTCCCCCGCACGTCGAAACTGGAAAAGAACAAAAATGCAAAATTTTTTTAATTTAAAACATAGTGTCTAAAACATTACGTTTTACCATTAGTTGTTTAATAAAAATTACTTATTTTCGCGCTATCACCCTGTATACTAAATCCAAAAACAGCAAAATGACTACATATCGATCCAATACTGATCTAATTTAATATTACTGTGTTGAGAATTTTATTCAAATATATTCTTTAAAAATAAATAAAATATATACAGAAATATGTAGATATACAGGGTTATCCAAAAGTCCAAAACTTTCGAAGAAAGCATTTTAGGAAAAAATGTTTCAGACAAAAATGTAAGGATATATCCCTGGCTATCTGATGGTGACCTTGTATTTGACCTTGACTTTGATCTTCAGGGTCATTTTAAGGTCAAGTTTTTTAAATGAAAACCCTTATTTTTTCCGGATTTGAAAAGAGCAGGAAATTTTACGTCCAAATATGGTCTTGGCCATGACTTTGACAAAGACCTTGCTCTTTCCAAATTCGCAATAAAAAAATAGGGCCTCCAATTTAAAAAAATTAATTTGACCTTCAAATGACCTTGAAGGTCAAAGTCAAGGTCAAATCCAAGGTCACCATCAGATAGCCAGGGAAAAATCCTTACACTTTTGTATGAAACATTTTTTCCCAAAATGCATTCTTAGAAAGTTCTGCCGTACCGGGACTTTTGGAAGTCGACCCACATTTGATCTTGAAGGTCATTGTCAAAGTCATGGTCAAGACCATGTTTGGAAGTAAAATTTCCTGCTCTTTCCAAATCCGAAATAAAAGATAGGTGTTTCCATTTAAAAAACTTAATTTGACCTTCAAATGACCTTGAAGGTCAAAGTCAAGGTCACATCCAAGGTCACCATCAGATAGCCAAGGAAAAATCCGTACACTTTTGTCTGAAACATTTTTTCCCAAAATGCATTCTTTGAAAGTTCTGCCGTACCGGGACTTTTGGAAGTCGACCCGCATTTGACCTTGAAGGTCATTGTCAAAGTCATGGTCAAGACCATGTGTGGAAGTAAAATTTCCTGCTCTTTCCAAATCCGCAATAAAAAATAGGGGTTTCCATTTAAAAAACTTAATTTGACCTTCAAATGACCTTGAAGGTCAAAGTCAAGGTCAAATCCAAGGTCACCATCAGATAGCCTGGGAAAAATCCTTACACTTTTGTCTGAAACATTTTTTCCCAAAATTCTATATTCGAAAGTTTTTCTGTCGTACCGGGACTTTTGAATAACCTTTTTTTTAAATTACTAGTTAAGTAACAAGTATATTATTTGTGATGTACAATTCAAAACTATTATTGTATCAAGAGATTATGAACTTGAATCTATTAGTAGATATATTTTTTTAATTTGTAGGGTGACCATATTGATTTTAATGATAATGTAAGATTAACATGCAATAAATATAACGCCTTTGGTAAATTCTTTTTTGCAACTTTATTGTTTTTTATTTTTCTTAGTTTAGTTTCTAGTTTTATAATTATGATCTATTGATTGTAGAATATCACTGTGCTTGTGGCAATATCCAACAAAATGCATTAAAAAAATGTTTATCTGGCATCAAAAACTTCAGATTCAATTTAATTTAATATTTAAAATGTATTTTTGCACTGTACAAATCTTTTTTAGATACTTAGTTGATATTCCACCCCATACTAGAATACGATAAACCATGCGGGATTCCACAAGAGCAAAATAAATAAATTTAAATTGAGGTAATTATACCTATTCTTTATATATTTCAGATTTAAAGATGAAAGTATGTATATTTCCAAATATCTTACTTTCTCAGTTGCTAAATTTTCAATTTTGTTTCCATTATTTTTACTTCATTTATTAACGTCTGGTGAAGTTGATACATGACATGCTATAGACAAATATGTGTTTTTGTTTAATTTACGCTTTTTAAGTTATCCTAAGTACCTCTTTTATAAAAAAATAAAACTGTGCGGTTAACCATAACTTACTATTGATACAGTAGTATTCAATTATTAAAATAAGCTATTTATATAGTTTGTAGGCAGTATAGACCCCAAAAGAGTTTCTTGGAGAACTTCACAAGTCGCTATTCTCTAATGACACCATCCAACTGTACAAATTGTTTACGGTGCCAAATAACTGACCACAGTACTGTAAGCGGCATAAGCGGTACCTATAAACTCCAAATCTTGCAAAACCTCTAATAACTGTCCATGATCAACAGTATCGAAAGCCTTAACGACATCTACAAACAGACCTATTGATGGTTTACTTTAATCTAATGCAAAATACATTTTTTCTATTAAATGCACTATCATTTATATTAAACTCGGTCGATTTTCCTTTTCGAAAACTAAACTAATTATCTGATAAAATTTTGTGGTTTAATAAATACTCCTGGATACCAATTTTTTTAACTTTTTAAACATTTTTAGAAAATATTGAAATACAGACAACTTATTATTTTTTTAGCTCCATTTTTATATAACGGCTTGATTACAGCTGATTTGAATTCTGATGAAAATTTGCCAGTTTCAGTACATTTATTAATAAGAGTTATCATTTCCTTAGATATACAAAGTGTCCTTCTTTAGTGTCCTTCGCGTTGTGCGCTGTAGCAATCCGCTCTCTCTCCACGTCCCTCAAGCGATTCCGAATGCTGAAATCCGATTTTAGTATTAACGTTTTTGCGACAGTGTCTACATTAGTTTTTCGAGTGTCAAATATGGCTTACGTGTATAGCAACTCGGAGCTGATGCATATCGTTTTAATTTATAGTGAAGCAAGACAACATTTGTGTTATGATGAAACATTTGTGTTACTGTGAAGTAAGACAACATTTCCGTTAATTCCTAGAAACTGGATAAAACGTGCCCAAATGTTTACACATCGATGCATAAATTTTTAACCGTTGTTGTAACATCAGGTGTGTCAAATTTTATTAATTAAAACCACAGATTAATATTGCTAATTGATAATAACAATACTGGAAAAAGCAGTAGAATATGCCGATATAAAATTTGATTTATTTTTTTTCTTTAAGAAATAAATTATTTCAATATTTTGCCCGTTCATTTTTTATTACCTACACATTTTTATATTAATTGTATTCCACAAATATTTTGAACAAATTTGATTTTCGTTTTAACATACTATTTAAGTGATTTCTATATGAAATAAAATTTCGTTTTAATGCAATATCATGAGATGTTACAGACGAGATATTTTGTATAATTTATATCTATTCTTTATCGACCTAATAAGACCTTCTCAGGTTATTTAACAAAATTAATTTTTGATAGCGGTCACACCAAATGACGTCACAATGCACGACAAAATTTAAATTTGTACATAACGTTAAATTAGTTTTTTCACCACTGCTAATTGTTGTCGGTTATAGATTACAAATTTATGCAATTCTAAAAGAAATTAAGTTCCCATGCAAGAAGGAAAACTGATGAAAACATATTTGACATCCCTTTGATAGACTCGTACGTTTCAATTCCCCCGCCCTTTGAAATTCCGCGTCTAACAAAGTTTTAGCCGGTTTAACTTTGTCTCTTTTAAATTTAAACCATCAATTGCTCGGGGAACCCGTCATATGGCTACATCAGCTAAGCGAATGGCAATAAAAGGATTTTTAACGCGATTTAAATCATGTCACAGCTTTTAATATGAACGGGTAAAATTTTAATAAAACATCAGGCACCGACGAAAACTGTACAGGTTTAGTAGAACTTATAATTCACACTCTGATCTGTCAAAAGGTTGCGTTAGAAAACATTAAGCTTATTGAAACAACGATACAAAATTGATCTATAAAGAAATATAAATGACATAATCACCTATGTCATAAAGAAGGCAAATTATTGTTTGAGTACATTTAAAAAGGCAAACTGGCATTATAAATTACATGTTTTACATTATACTATATATTAAAAAAACTTAATTACAGCTGTTACGTCTCATTTAATACCATAAAACCGTTTATGATGGTAGTTACATAATTTTTGTGTACCTATTAACTGTCTTCTAGATAATGACCGTAATAGTATTAATAAAAAGTGGTATTATGGTTTAATCAGAAGTTTTATTACAATTATGATCCTTCAGATACTATTACATGCCCTGTAATTTATTGTTGTTGCTGGTAAGTACCCAAAGTAAACTAAATATATTGCGTACTTCTTGTTTTGTAAATAACTAATAGAAAAACTAATACAATTTCATTAGTTCCAAACGGACACCAAAGGTGTGGTAAAAAATGTGGAAAAAACAGCGCAAGAAATAGCGTGGCATCCTACGACGAATCAAGAGAAAAAGGGAAATGGGGGAACTTTTTATTTTGCGTATGTTCTTGCGACAAGAGGAATGTAAAATTATTGGATTGGATTTTTTATGCGAGGAAACCTATTTGTGGTTTTCACACGTATTAAAGCTTTATACAGGGTATTAATAAAATATTCTGCTACACTTTAATGGCGGAATCTACATCGCAAATCAATAAAAAGTCCCAGAAATATATTTTATTGACATAAATAAAAAGTAATTCTAACATTATTCATTTAACAAAAAATAAAAAAACTAGAGGAAGTTTTTGATAGAAATATAATTTTAAACACAATGTACATCAGTACTCAAGAAAATTTTTTTCCCAGATTATTTAAAATTACTTCATAAAAAGTTTATACAGGGTGTTAAAAAAAGAGTATAAAATATTTCAGGAGGTAATAGTATGAACCAAAATAAGCAGAAAAGTCTTAATAAACATGGGTCCGCAAAGTAACGGTTGCGGAGATATGGACCACTATTCGTTTTTCAAACATTTTATTTTATTAGGAATAAACCGACAAAGGAAGCTTTTAACAAACAAAAAACAAAGTTACAGAAGATGTTCAAAGTGCCCTCCGTCCATTTCCAAGCAGGCACGACATCTTCGTCTCAACGATATTCGAACTCTTTCGAAAACACCCTCCTTGGTTTGGATTTCTTGACACTTTTG